GGGAAGCCAGATTACAGTGGGTGGGGGACCACGTGGGAAGGGAAGTAGAGACAGTAAGTGTAACGACATTGTGGAGAAAGTCTGGCTCTGAAGGGGAGGAGAGAGGTGGTAGCAGGAAGGGTTTGCTTAGCATCCGCAGAGAGCTGATCCACAGGTGGGTCTGGGGAGAGCATGGACCTTAGTTCTTTAAAATAGCCTTAGATCTGTGAGATCAGAAATTATGTGTCCCCATCATGGCCTCCCATCACAAGCAACGAGGTCCCAAGTAACAGTGGCTTGGGTGAAGGGGATGTCTGACGGTCACACAGGGAGGATTCTGGAAGAGGGCAGGGCCAGGGCTGCGGCAGCTTCTCAAGCATGTCATCCGGGACCCACCCGTTCCCAGCCTTCTGCTCGGCCATGTGGGCCGCATCTACACTAGCAATGTCTGGACACTCATCGCTGCTCCAAGTACCGGGGCCTCATACTGCACAAGAGGCTTTGTGCCTGTGTCTGTCTTTATGGAGGACGAAATTCACCTCTCCCAGAGCCCCCAGCAGACTTCCCCTTGTGATTCATTGGCTGACACAAGGTCACATGCTGCCCAGAGACCAATCACTACAAGGGAATGAGGGATGACCATCCCTGGCTTGCACCAATCATGAACCACCCCCAGGCCACCGGGGCTGGGGCTTCCCCACCCAGACGCATGTGCTAGTAAGAAGGAAGAGGTGAGGGCTGTCAGGGACGCCTTTAAGAGTCTCCCGGCGCTTGGCTGCTACACGTCCCCACCAGACTGGGTGCTTCCTAAGGGCAGGAGTTCTGTCTCCCCACCAGTCACAAGTATCTGGAGCGTAGGTGCTCGTCCCAGGCTAGGAGCTTCTGGAGAACGGGGCTGCATTTCCCCCCCCCCCAGAGTTCCCCCAAGAAGCCCTAGAATATTAACAAACTCCCACCTGGTGCTTATTTTCTTGTATTTCAGCGAAGCAGGACTACTGTAGGAGTCAGCTGTGTGAATGTGATAGAAACGCCGCCAACTGTTTTGCTAGAAACCTGAGCACCTACAGCAGAAAGTACCAGTACTATCCCAACAAACGGTGCAGCGGGAGCGCCCCCCGTTGCTGAGAGCCCCCTCTTCCCTGGAAGCTGGGCCACATGAAGCTGAGTTTCCTTCTTTAACATTTCGCTCCCTACTGGAGCCAAGTTCCATGGCAACGAAGAAAACACCCCCATCCCTCCTAGAGGCAAGGCAGGAGCCCCTCTATCCCCACCCAGAATGAGGTGCCCGCAGCCTGGGCATGTCTGACTGGTCCCTTTCCCCTGCTTCTCTGGGCAGCTGGAGATGTCCCCAGTTGCACTGATCTCCTCCAAGTGCAACTTCCTGCTTAGCAGTAGCAGGTACCCTGCAGGGGGTCTCTTCTGAATAAAGCAATTCATTGGCAGACCGTGTGTGCGTTTGTGTGTGTGTGTGTGTGTGTGTGCACTGCCCTATGCACTGTTAGTGCGAGAACACACTGCCA